TACATACACACACACACACACACACACACACACACACACAATCTCTTATAGCATTAATTTCAATTCAACATTCAATAATACACTTAGTTAAAGCCTTGGATGATCAATAAGTATCCCCAATATACACCAGTTCTGTTAACCAATCAACTGGTGCATTGCTGACTTTTTTGGCAGGTCAGATATAAGAAATGGTATAAAATATTATTAGTAAAGCTTTTTGGTCCCAACAATTACAGGGCTTTCTTTTGTTTTTTGCAGACTGTTATGGGAAAATATTATGTATTCTATAGAATTGAGGCTCAGATCTTTCCTCTAAAACAAAAGAATTCACATCGGGGTTGTTTTTGGGTTTTTTGCACTTTTACTTTCTTTATTCTAGTTCTGTCCAGACATCTATTGTAACTGTAAGGGCATGCCTCAACTAGATTTCCCAAGAAAGCAAAACTCTTGAAACAGGCATTGTTTCAAAAGGAACTTTTTATTGAGAGTTAGTGATGGCAAGAGAGCAAAGCAAGGTCTGAGATTTGGCATGTAAAGGATTACATCAAAAAAGCAATACGCAGCTCCTTCCCCCACCCATGTCCAACCATCTGGTTGAAATCCAGCCAATCCACAGATGCCACCATGTTATGAGAAGTTGAAGATTTAGCACGCTTCTCAATGACTCTCTCGGTTTTGTTTCCCAAAAGTCCCAGGCTCCATTGTCTGGAGATAAGGCAGATGTTTTCAGGTCACATTCCTCTCGCCCAGAGGGAGGGCATCTCATATAGGATTAGAACAAAGCAAATAACAATCCCCATGCAAGCACCCTCCCCCAACAGTATGGCAAGCCCTCAAAATACATAGGCAAAAGCAAGAAAGGGGAACAAGAAAGGGGAACAATTGAGGGGCTCTGACAGTAACTCACTTCTGTACCTTTTTTTTTTAGTTAGGATTTGCTACTGGTTTAACAACTAAAACCAGCTGTTTCTTACCCACTCTTATTAATGATTTTTTTTTCTTCTTTAAATTTCTTCAGACAAAAACAAAACAAAACTCTTGCTCTTTTATGCTGCCAGAATTCAAATATATAATATTTACTTCTCTATTTTTATGGTAGTCTTTATATTCTGAAATGAATAACAGCCTTTCAAATCAGGTGCAGTTTCTACTTGTCACTAATGGAAAAATTGAAGATATACAATTTATTTCCATCTGTCTGTACCTCCAATTCAGATCTTCTACCTAAATAATAATTGCTTCTGAACTTTTGAAAGGTGAAATAATTCAACTCTTTTATTTTTGAAATATCAAAAAATTCAGGTACTGCTTTCTATATTGCTGTCAATGATCAACATTTGTAACAATCCTTAAACCAATAATATTTTGCATTATACATTTTTTCCAGCAATGGGACAAAGGAGAATAACTTGTTGCAAAAGAATATATGAATTATAATAGAATATATTCAAAGGGTGGTAATATACAATACGTGTTAACTGAGCAAATTACAATGTATAACTCTTGTATTGAAGAATTTAGTATTTACTCATTGGGAAAACTACATTTACACATGTGTAATTTCCACTTCCAGCCTAACCTCTCCAAAATAAAAATAATGTTATTATATTGAACCACTATTATACCTGCAGGTTATTCCTGTGTTTTCAGGGATTAAATCTTTCCAGACCTGAATGCTTGAAGCAAATTTGGAGTAAATTTAGCTCAGTTTGGTTTAAGAAATCATTTTCTATTGCATTCATTTTCTGGAAGACAGACTGCTATTTATTCAGTATAACTGACTTACAAATGAACATACTTGTTAATGAAAAAGACTTCACTCTGCATTATTCAGTCACCATAGAAAAGACATGTACCACAGAGAGGAATCAGAATATTTCCAGGTTTTATTTGTATCTGCCTTTGTTTTTATAGTACAGGTTGAATTAAAGGACCTAATATCAAATTATTTTGAATGCAAAAAAAAAAAAAAAGAGTATGAAAATCCTGCAATAGCAAGAGTGATTTCCAAATTCACTGAAGGCAAAGAATCTTTCTCCTCATCTCCTCAAAGAAGGAGGTCTAAATTTAAAGAAAAGTCCCTATGAAGGCTTAAGTGGGGCAAATTATTTTCATAGCTTCTGATTCATGCAATTTTTCATTAGATTCCACTGTGTCATTTCATCTTTTCTTGATACTGATTCTTCAGATTACCCAGTCCGGAAAAACAGGTGAATGTGAGAGGAAAAAAAACCCTCAAATAAGATCATCTTGGTTTTGTTTAGTGTAAGATGGAATGGGAAGAAAGTTGGATAAGCTTTTAAGATTCAGTTATTGTACCTTTGGGGGAGTGAGGGAGAATCAGTTATGCGCCATCAAGTCATTGTCAATTGCTTTTGTTGTTGTTAATTGCGAAGTCATGTCCGACCCATCATGACCCCATGGACAATGTTCCTCCAGGTCTTCCTGTCCTCTACCATCTTCTGGAGTCCATTTAAGTTCACACCTACTGCTTCAGTGACTCCATCCAGCCATCTCATTCTCTGTCGTCCCCTTCTTCTATTGCCCTCAATCTTTCCCAGCATTAGGCCCTTCTCCAGTGAATCCTTCCTTCTCATTAGGTGGCCAAAGTATTTGAGTTTCAACTTCATGTCAATTGCTAGTGACCTCATAATAATAGAAATAGATATGGCATTCCTGCAATCCCTGTTGTGCCTGTTTCTTGACATGGCCTAGCCTGAAGGACTTACAAGCATTCTGTAGATAAAGGATCTGATACTAATGGATTTTTGCCTAGTTTAAAACTGTCATATCATTAAATTCCAGCAATAGTCACTGTACCCCTGGTTGAGTGTAAATAGATCCTTTCTTAGCTATGATGATCCAAAGAACTGTTTTTGATTTCCTGAATAAACTTTATTTCATGTAGAAACATATGAAATTGTTTATATTCAGAGAACAATCCAAATGAGTTTTCTGTCAAAGCAGTCATTTGTTCAGGAATGTCTAATGCATCGAGCATGCACCAGGCAGACAGAACTATTGTGTTTCTGGACTGAAACAACACCCAGGTTGGAAGCATATGTGGGCCCTTGGTTTCTTTTAGAAAGAACATAGAATTGCAAAACAGGTGAAGTATGTAAAGTATTATAGCCTTATCTCATGCTTACTTATTTAACCATTTAAAATTGTGATTATACTATTCAATTTTATATTCAGTTCTGTTTTCAATTCACAATTTATAGCATTTCTCTTAATATTAAGAATCTTTATATAAAGATCTTAGAGTTTTAATATTATAATGTTCTATTAATAATGTTAGAGTTTAGGTATGTTTTGCATCTCACTGGTTTCCATATTTCACATACTTATAATGGGTGTGGTTATACTACAAATAGTTTTGTATCATATTGGTGCCTTTCCATTTTAAAGTCAACCAGCCACCTACTATGGTGTCCTGTGCCTATGGTTTTAGATTTTAGTTATTAAATATAGGTTTGGGTTTATGTTTTATTCTGTTGTAATTATTTCTAAATGATGGATTTAATTTATCTTATACTTTAGCATTATCACCTTTTATTTATAGCTATGAACTGAAGACAAATATTTCATGTTTTATTTTTATTTTTCATGTTTTATCTATGTGGGGTGGAATTGCACATAGTATCCTACAGTAGATTTCTACACTAGATATTTTTTTTCATACAAATAAGATTGTAAATAAGATTCTTTGCAAAATTTTGAGATAACGGCAATGCAGCAAACAGCACTATTATTATCCAGATTTCTTTGTAGAATTCTAAACCTTTTGCAGCAACTGAATGGGGTCTAAAGAGGAAGGGACTGGGAACATGATATTTCAGAGTACAATAGGTAAATGTATACTAGAGCTGAAAAGATTTAGATGTAAGAGTAAGTGTATACAGGTAAAGATTAAATTTAATTATTAAGGCCCAATTTAATATCAGCAAAAGGCTTTGCTTTCTTGTAAACTACCATAGATATCAGTGGGCAATGAAGTAGGACAAATATAACAAGGCAATGGACAAAATATGTGTCATTATGTTGTTATGTGAATTCTTTCCCTGTAGTTGCTTATAATATTGTCATGCAATTACAGAACTTGCTTCATGAAGTCACAGCTAGAGAACATAGAGATTAGAGATGAGAGATAAAAGCTTAAAGGTAAAATAAACAATTCAAGTCAGGACAGTGGTGGGCCGTGGAGGTGATGGGTGGCCCTGTGGGTGGGTGGGGGCAGGGCAGGGGTGGAGTGGAGTGGGAGTGAGGCAGGGTGGGGGAGGGGGAGTTTTTGGGCACTCTGTGTCTAAAAGGTTCGCCATCACTGCTATAGGGTTTCCTGCCTGAGCAGGGGGTTGGACTAGATGGCCTCCAAGATCCCTTCCAACATTATCATCATCATCATCATCATTATTATTATTATTATTATCAGTCTATTCCATTCCTGTAGTTATTTGATTTCAATTTATACAGCCAAGTGAGTAGGAGTTCATCAAGCATTAACTGATAAAGAACCAGTGACCGTTTCATTGTAAGGGTGTATATAACTAAGAAAGGATCACAAGCTATAGATTGAGGAGTTCTTATAAGAAAACCTGCAGCAAAGGCTAAATGAGCATAGAAGTGGAACAATGCCATTCAGAGAGCACTACACTTTTGCATGGATCAAGAACCTTCACATAAATTATGGCCTCAGGACACTATGAGTAATTCTATTTCCCATATATTCAAGATCAATTTGAGGCACATTAGCCAACTATTGATATTTGTACTCAAAACTGATCATACCTGTCCCTTCCCTGCAGCATTGACCGTAGAGTGTGGTATATATGTGAATGGAAAAAAAATCTGTTGAAAACATAATTAAACTAGTTCAGTTTAAAACTTGTAAATATAATATTGCTCACTTTTTTATGCTTTAGCTTGCTGAACAGTTTCCTTTTCCTCACACTCTTTTCACATAACATTTACTGTATATTTGCTTTTGCTGTACTGAATAGGTTTTATGGGTGAACTCTGTGAATCAAAGATGAATAGTTGTCTCTCACAGCCCTGTGGAACTACCAGCATCTGTCAGGAAGAGCTGGATGGCTATAGCTGTTTCTGTGCACCTGGTTTTATTGGTATGTTTGAATTTAAATATAATCAAACCCATTGATACAACTTATTTTTTAAGGTCCTCTTAGCAGCTTTTAGTTCTCAACCAGCTGGATAGAGAACAAGTTTCAATTTAACCATGGCAAGACTGCATTTTAAGCACCTCTCTCCCCATTCTCTTACTTTTCCACTTGTGAGGTCGCCAGTCAGAACTGATGCATAATTTAGGGATCCTTCTGCTCAAATGATCCTGCATGTAGCAGTTGTAGCTAGGGCAACCTTTGCAGTGGTTTGTCTTGTACACCAAATGAGCCTGTTCCTGGAACAGGAGCTATGGAAACTGTACATGTGTGCAAATTTGTGAGTGAGTGGAAAAGCGGACCCCTCTGACTGAGCTCATATTGTGGTCCATGCTTCTAAGTTGACTGGTGTCAGCAGAATCTTGCAAGCAGAGAAATCATGACTCTCTGAAAAGAAAGTATCCACTAAGGCTTAAATTTCTACGGTTACAGTACCTTCTTTTCCTTGCTCCTCCCAACTTCAGTTGTCATTCTTAATTGCTCTGCCCAATTACATTTCTTATGAACAAAATTTTTTTTTTACTTCCTGTCAGGTGTGAATTGTGACATAGAAGTGAATGAGTGTCTAAGTGATCCATGTCGCAACGGTGCTACGTGCATCAATCAGGTTAATGCTTTCAACTGCCGGTGTTCTAGCGGATTTGAAGGTAACAAAAAAATACAGGTATTTTAAGAGTTACCAGTCTTTAAAATGCAATGGTATCCAATAACTGTATCCTCTGCTTGTTTATTAACCATAATTATTACTGAGTTCAAATCCTTGTCTCATGTCAAATTTGCTCCAAGCTAGAATTGTATCCAAGTAGCATTTTATCCCTCTCTGTCTTAAAATAGCCAATACTAGGTATTACTTGTTAAATAAACCATTTCAATTTTTATCCTGAATAAAGTGTCAATCATATTTAAAACAGGAGATATGTTTATCTAACTTATTTTGAAATAAATAATATCAGCATTTATTCATTGGGCTGGGTCCAATATAAGACCTCTGTGCTAGAAGGGTTTTTTCTGTTGTTGTTGTTTTGATCAAATAAAAGTTTCTCTGCTGAATGTGCTTCAAAGGGTGGGGAAAGAGGTTCTAGTGAGGAAGTGGAAAAGGAGTCAAGAAAGAAAGCAGAAATTGCTAAAAATCAGCTTCCCTTTTTTTCAATGAGAGTCTTCTCCACTCATATACATGCAAGAGACATATTCCCCAAAGCGATTGTGCATTCAGTCTTACCTAAGTGTTTGCAAATAGAATTAGTCCACATGAAAGGCAGTTCTGATTTAATCTAGCTTTTCTTTCTCATGGAAAAATCCAACATAGATCTTTACACATTCACCTTAACACTGAGTGCAAGCACTTCTGCTGGGTCTATTATATGGATTGAATTGAAGGAATGTGGCTAATGAACACGATGTCCTCTCCTTACATCATGAGAAATGTTTGTTTCTATATTTCTTTGATCACACAGTTTAAGCTGTCATGAGCTTAAAGAACGAAGGACACAAAATTAATAGGGCTAAAAGCAATAATAATTGAAGCAAGAAAAGCTGGGAATCTTTTCAATCAAATTCTATGTGTGTCTATTCACACTTGGCCAATAAAGTATTTTATTCTAAAGAAATTCTGTCCAAAAAGTATTCCTTAAGGCATATTAGGCAGGAAATTTCTGTAAATAAGGTAATGTATTTTCACATCTGAAATTTTATTTTTTCCTTTGGTGAGAACTCATCTGCTGCCTTAACAAAACCAGAAGGAAGATTTTCCTTGATGTCACTGCAAATGCATTCTATTATATTTCAATGTCATTTCTTTTTTATTCTTTATTGATGCAAATTGATAAAGAAATTGGCTGCTGTAAGTCTTGAGAATCAGTTCAGTATCTCTGAAGACTACTTTTCTTTTTGTACCCTCTTAACACATCAGTGTAACAGTTCAAATAATAAAATGTCTCCGGAATATTTTAGTGAGGCAGGCTGAACTTATAATCACACTACTGACAGAATGTTCTCAACAGTGAGTTACTTTACATGAGCATACCAAATAAAAATGTATTTTTAATCAAATGTTTGGCTTCTGTAAGATATTGCCTTTCCTCTCCTCTCCAATCACTATATAGGCATACTTTGTGAAATCAATACAAATGAATGTCACTGCAACCCTTGTCTCCATAATGGAACCTGTACAGATCTTATCAATGGATATAGCTGTATCTGCTTATCTGGCTTTGCTGGTAAGTGGCATGAATCCTTTCCTAAGAAATTTTAATCTCCAAGGATTATCACAAGGTTATTAATCTTGGGCATGCTGTTACACTTTATATAACATAATTTAATATTTTATTTGCATCCTCAGCAAACTTTGTAAACTTTGGGTAGAAGTTTATATCTAATCATATATGGAAAAGATTTTAAATATTATTTGCCTGTAATAATGTTATGATTAAACTCTTTTTTGAGCATCTCCCCTTTAATAACATTATTTCACTATTATTTTATAGTGCCTAACCAGCTTGGTCATACAAATATAGCAGTAAGGGACCAAAAGATCTTGAAATTTCCCACTTAAACTGCCTGTAGTAGTGGACTAAGAAAAAGACTCTGTCTTATTTTGCTTAGTACTGAGACACTATAAAATTGTTAACATGTAATACTGTATTCCTCCAGTTGAGAAGATAATAAAAGCAATATCTCAAAACCTATTAAGTGGGTTTGGTGAGGTTTAAGATTTAGAATGTGCAGGTAGTTATCGACTTACAACAGATCATTTAGTGAACTGTTCAAAGTTACAAGGACACTGAAAAAAGTGACATAATGTTTTTCATACTTATGATCATTGCAGCATCCCCATGGTCACATGGTCAAAATTCAGATGCTTGACAATTGACTCATGACTAGTTGCAGTGTCCCAGGGTCATGTGATCACCTTTTGCAACCTTCTGACAAGCAAAGTCAATGGGGAAACCTAATTCACTTAGGAACTGTGTTACTAACTTAACAACTGCAGTTGTAAAATGGAACAAAATTCATTTAATAAATGTCTCACTTAGCAACAGAAATTTTGGACCCAATTGTGCTTGTAAGTTGAGGACTACCTTTACTTAAAAACAATTCTTTAAATGAAGCCTATGGCTTACTTATATACCATCTGTTTTACAAATCAGAAAAGAGTATTTTTTTATGCATCTGACTTTTACCATTACAAACAACTTTCATTATGGCAAAATGTTGTAGGCAAAGTATTTAAGTTTCTAGACTCACAGGATCTTCTACCATGATTCTTTGACTTTCTGAACTACCAAATTTGTACATCCAAATTTCCTTAACAGATAACCTGCTTAAGTAATTTGTACTTTTTTGTATTAGTTCTTGACCTTTGATGTCTGAATCTTCAAATAATTCCAAAACTGTATATCTGATTGCTGTAGCCAGAATTAGGGTGTAAGAGACAAAATTTATCAAAACATTTGCACTGTATAGTATGTAGTTACATTATTATGATGGTTGTGTATTCATTCAGTGAAGTCATAGTCTTCAGATTGGATATTTTCTGATTGTTTGGTTTCTAGCCAAAGGCCTAAATATCATGCAGTTATTACTGTAATAAATGTAAACAAAAATAGTTTCTTCCAATGTCCAAAATATTTAAGTACAAAGTTCCAAATATTTGATAAATCCCTTTAGTATTATTACGATTTATTTATTATCTATATAAATAAAAATGTAAATGTTCGTTTGTTCACAATCTTAAATCTCTGAAAGTTCTTTACCGATTGCTTTGAAATTTTGAAACAACATTGCATTTGAATACGTGCATGTTTTTATATACCTATATTATATAGATGTCACACCTGTGACAGGTAAAAACATGCTTTTTTGAAAAACAGGTAAAAACATGCTTTTTTGAAAAACAGCGCCATCTGTTGGACGTAATCTCTATATCTGCACACACAATGGAACAAAAAAAAAATATTGTATACCCACAAGCATTGTGAAATTAAACATATTACAAACGTGCACTTTCTCTTTTCTTTCTTGAGCCACAGCAATGTGTGGCTGGGTACAGCTAGTTAAGCATAAATTTAAAACAGGCATGATAAGGAAACAGTTTTGAAGTTCAAATATAATTTAGGCTCTAGTTTATTTGCAATACACTGGGAATAACTACTACTACAACTACAACTACTACATCTCTTTTATTGTTGCTATTTAAATTCTGGAATATCATGCCCTGGCACTTGTAGTTTTGAGATGTACGATCAATGAAAATACTTCCTATTTTGAAAAATTGACATAAAGTTTCCTAGTCATTAAAAATAAATTTTATGAACAATAAGAAAAATAAAATAAAACTTCCTTTTAATTGTAGACAAACACCCCAAAGAATTACAACTGGTAAAATAAGACATTTAAATGTTCATTAAATCACAGGATATTTAAACTTCAGATTCCCTTGAAAACCTATCAAGGCATAAATCTATGATACAGAAAGTCTAAGAGAGGACAATATTTTAAGAATTAAATTTGCTTCTCACAAGTACAATTAACTTCAGAAGGTCCTAGAAATATTCTGCACAACTCATAATGCCTTGTTAGGATATTCATCTGATAGGCTACTGTGATCTTCCCTTTTCTGCATCTCTGCCAGCAGAATTTGCAAGAAAAACAGGGAAAGGAAACTGGAGATTTACTTCCAACCTTTGTTGTAGCACAGTGTTTCTCAATCTTGACAATTTTAAGGCATGTGGACTTCAACTCCCAGAATTCCACAGCCAGCAATGCTGGCTGTGGAATTCTGGGAGTTGAAGTCCACATGCCTTAAAATTGTCAAGGTTGAGAAACACTGTTGTAGCATCTGTTGCCAACATTGCCTGCCTTCAAGAAAAAGCTCAAAGCTGAGCTTTTCCAGAGGGTTTTATAGGCCTAATGCCTTATGTTGCATTTGGGCTTTATTTGTCTTACTTTTATACTATTTTATTTTATCATATTTCTTTGTCTTTGGAGTTGCTGAGATTGCTGTGATTGTACAAGTGTACAAATAATAAACACATCTTTCAATTAAATCTTTCATTTTCGTCTTGTTAATGAGTTTGACTTGAAAGTTTCAAAAAATCATATTCCATAGAGAGGATAAGAAATTAAAATAACTCCTCAAGTTCTCCCATAATGGCCAACTGCAACATTCTCTTCCTGACAATCTGAAAGAGCTAGCTATTGTTTTGACTTTCTTTTTAGCTCTAAGACAATCTTCATAGTTTACTATTAAGAATGTGCTAGTTATATATTCTCAGCAAGTTTGGATCATGCTTCTTTTGCCTCCCAAATTATTTATTGAAGTACTCTGAACTGCTCATTGGATTATACAAGTTGTGCTCCTATATATTTAAAAAAGAATCTCATTTCTAGCCCACTTGATGATTGAAATTTCTAAAATTTCTCTTGCTATATTCTTGATCATGGAAAAAGATGTTTAGATAAATGTAGTTAGGAATGGACGAGTTTTTCACCCAAATTGCATGCTGTAAAATTAACTTTCATTTATTGAATATTCAGACTGAAAACACCTTTATTAAAATTTATACTTTTCCAGTTTTGCAATGCAGATTTCCAGGTAAATCTGTACAATAGGAAAACAGATATGAAAAAAGCTAGAAATGAGATTCTTTTTTAAATATATAGGAGCACAATTTGTATAATCCAATGAGCAGTTCAGAGTACTTCAATACTGGGAAAAGAAAAACTACATAATGGAAAACAGTTTGGATAAACAAAATATTGATGAAACTTGCCTATGACAATACAACTATTCAGGCTAATGCATATAAAAATACATAGATATTTTCATGCTGCATATTAGAAAAAATGCTGAAACATGACAAAACAAATTTAAGGCTATGCCAACAAGAAATGAAACTGACCTATCTGTCTTTATCTGGTATACAGACATGCTTCTTTTAGAAATTAGGAGTGTAATTCTGGGGCAGGAAAGCTTAGTGGTGATGAAACGAAATAAAGACTCTGATTGTAATGCACGTAAAGACCTTATTTTTGTGATTTAGATTTATTTCTCTAAACAAAATGGACCTGAATCTTAAGGTACAAATGGAACAATTATAAATTGGCACCTGCTTGTCTTATTAAATTGCTGGCTCTTCAATTATTTTTTCAAAGGTATGCACTGTGAAAGTGATCTAGATGAGTGTGCTTCTTTTCCCTGCAAAAATGGAGGCACCTGCATTGACCAGCCCGGTAATTACTCCTGCCAGTGTGTGGCTCCATTTAAAG